CATATGATTTGAGACCATTGACAATCGTTGAAATCTATCCGTCATAGCTTTGATATATTCATTTGGTTTCATCCTGAAATTTTCATAGCTATGCGTTAGAATACTAATTTTAGATTTCTTTACCTCATCGGTACCTTCATGAGTGACTTGAAGTTTGTCTCATATTTCTTTGGCGGTTGTACACGATGAAACTATTCCGTATTCATCTGGTCCAAGAGCACAAAAAATGATATGGATGGCTTTGGAGTTGAGCTGGAACATTCTTGTCTCTCCTTCAATCCACAACCTTGGATGAGTGAGAGGTTTGATGTATCCTTCTTCTACAACATTCCATGCTCCCATGTCACTTGCTTGAATGAAGTATATCATTCTATTCTTCCAATAGGCATAGTTAGCTCCATTTAAGAAAGAAGGCTTGTTGACGGGCATCGAGTCGAGACCGGAGTCGAAGTTTGAAGCGGAGGCCATTGATGACTTTGATTATCGATATAACTCTTTTCGAATCGACTCAAGAGGCGATTAAACCTTCAAATGAGTTAGGCTCTGATGCTAATTGTTGAGTTAATCGATTGATTGAATCAGCCAAGAGGGGGTGAATTGGCAATAAAAATTTTGGTGGAAGCTTTTGCAGAAAATTGAAAGAAATTACACAGTGATTTAGAGTGGTTCGCCTTTATCAACCAAAGTCTATGTCCACTACCTTAGCTATCCAGACTAAGGATTTTCCAACAAATTCACTAATTTGTTCTTTCTTTTGAGGCCAAAGAGATAACCTTACAACTCCCTCAAGAATATACCCCAATTCTTGAGAACACTCTTTTCTCAAAGAGAAATACAAATTTGCAAACTTACAAGAAAAACCTCACAAGGAAAATATGTTTGCACAATTCTAGAACAAAGAAAGAACACTCAAGAATAAATACAATTGAGCACAATAAGTGTTCTTGAAAGCAAAATGAATATTGAATGAAAAATAGGCTTGAAATGCTCAAACTTGAGGTTTGATGCTTTCTCTTTGATTCTCTCTTGATTCTAATTGCTTGATGTTTCTTGTTGTTGATCAATGGCTTCTAAGCTTGCTTAAATACACCTTGAATCACTTCTGAACGTTAGGGATAATTAGAGAAAATAATATAGCCGTTTTAGTGTGAAAATAATTAATAAAACAGTTTGGAGCGTGGGGGAATCGGTACCCCCTATGGGGAATCGGTTCTCTAAGTGTAAAATTCAAATATTTCGACCGTTATACAAGGGGGGAATCGGTACCCCCTGGGGGGGAATCGGTTCCCTCCGAGCATACTGGAATTCTCGGAGCCAAACCATTCAGGGGGGGATCGGTACCCCCTTGGGGGGGAATCGGTTCCCTCTGAGCAATCTGAAATTTTTGGCTTTGAAATGGTTCGAAATACTTTGTAAAATTATTTTGAAATTGTTTTAAGATTAAAACTTAATTTTACACTTTGAGTAAGGATTAAAAATGATCTTTGAAAGATTTGGAGTAATGTTTTGATATTCGAATAATTCTATCGAATATACTTAGAAAATCATTTGGAAAATCTTAAAATTCATTTAACTTAATTTGTTATATCGAAATATCAAAATGTTTTCAACAATAGAAATGTTAGATTTGTAATAAAGCTCAGCGAATTAAGATAAAAATGCATGCTGATGAATTAAAATAAATGAAATACAACCAATTACATATTAAATCTACGCAACAAATAAAGAGGTCTTACTATATTAGAAAAAAAAATGAATGCTAATTGAGAAAATAAATTATGAACAAAGTCAAAAAAGAAAATAAAAAAGAAAATGCCAGGAATATAATAAAACAAATATGGATTATCAAGAAAGAAATTACTTAAATGGAGAGGAATGTAAAAAATTAATAAATAAATAAATAACAGGAACAAATGCTAGCTAAAAGATTAAAATAAAGTAAAATAAAATAAAATAATAAACAACAACAAACAGATGGAAAATAAATAAAAATAAAAATAAATAAAAAAATAAACCTAATTAAAAAATAATAATAAATAAATAAAACTAATAAGAAAAATAATAAAAGAAAAGAAATAAAAAACGATAATAAAGTAAGGTTAAAACAATTAAATAAAGGGTAAAATCAATAAAATTTAAAGAATAATAAAAAAGATGTGTGGACAGCATGTTTGCTTATTTTTGTCAAAAAAATACCTTTAGCTAATAGGTTTTAAGAGTCCCATGCTATTAATAATTATGTTTCACTTTCGGTCAGGATGTGCGATGCTTGTATGTTTACCTAACGAATTAATTTACATCAAAAAAATAATAAAAACATATATACATAATAAATAAATAAAAGCGAGGTGAAAATAAAATTAGATAAATAAAAAATAGATATAAAGAAAACAAAACCATAATAATAATATATATATACATACTAATATTAATATTTAAAAATATATAAGGAGAGAAAACAAAACCTATATATGTAAAATAATACAATATGATATTTAAATAAAATAAATAAATGAATATATATATATAATAATAATAATAATAATAATATATATACATATATATATATATATATATATATATATATATATTAAATACTAAAGGGGAAAATACAATAATAATAGAGAAATAAAATAATACAAAATAAGATATAATAATAAACAAAAATAAAATAAAATAAAATAAAATAAAATAAAATAGTAAAAACAAAGAATAAAATAAAAATATGAAAATATATGTACAATGATAATGGGGTCAATTTGAAATAAAAACCAGATTGAGGGTCAAATTCAGAAGAAATTCGGGGTTTGGATTCATATTTGGGATCAAAACAAAAGCCTTTTCAAATCGGAGGGACCAAAGGCACAGTTTATCCCTTTTGAAACAAAAACACGCAGGTTGTAGGTATATGGGTCGGGTCGTGGGTCTGCTTACGGGCTCACTATATAACTAAAAAAACATAAACACATTTCATAATTAAAATCACCCTTCATTTGGATCAAAAACAGATCTCACAAATCCTCTCGCCTGTTCTTGCGTGTTCATCAGGCGGATGAACAACCGCCGCGCAACCCAGATTTTGGGGCGATCTCGTCACCTTGCCGACTGCCGGTCATTGGCGGCTAATATTAAAAAAATTAATTTTCCGAGAGCTTTCCTTCCATTCTCTTCAAAAACCAAAATATTTTTTTGAAAAAATTAGGCCTTGGGGGTAGATCTAGATGCGAAGTTTCGAGAACCTCCATCCCAAAGTCATCGGCGTTCGTGGTTTTTAAAAAAATCCAAAAAGGAGACAAGCAAGGCATGCAAGGAACACGAATAAAAAACAACAAAGGTAACAAAATTTATACCTTTTTATTTCTCTGATTCCGAATGACTTTACAACACTTCTTGTACTTCGTGAGATTTTTGTGCCTATTTTGTGCGTAATATTGTATGTAATCGTAGTGTGCTCTCGTGATCTTTCAGTGTTCGATTACATCAAATATTTATAACCTAAGATTTAAGAGTTTGAGTCCTATTAAAACTCTAAATCCGTTGTTTGTTGGTAGAATCTTGATAGATCCTTGCGTCGGAGGAATCGGAGTTGGTGGCGTGCGACGTGGGGACTTCGAACATGGGATGAGGTGCCGTTTGGAACGCTAGGGTTCTGGAAACCCTAGCTCGCTGGACTGGTTCGCATAGGTCTTGGGCTGTTTTCATTTTCATGTAATGGGCCTGTAATATGTAACCCAATGAATAAATAAATATTATAGTTTGTAATAATAAAAAATATATTATATAAAACTATATCAATGAACAAAATTCAATGTCATGTACTAAGATGAAACAAAAATTAAATAAAAAATTATGAATTATTAAAAATACACGCCTTCTTTGATTATTAAAAATACAAGTAAAACTATATCAGTAGCGTTGAATGCAAGGTTGACTTGGGTCGGGAAAGGGTCAGTTTTGGGTTTTTAACCCAAAAAAATTACAAGATTTAGAAATAGATCTAAGATTTTGTAATCAATTTTAGGGAAATTCAATATAATTAGAATACATGATGGAAAATAAAAACTTGTGAATAAATTTTAGGGTAAAATACGTTATAAGATGTTATTTTGTTGATTTTTTAGTCTTATATTGTTGATTTTGTCAACTACTAAAAGTTGTAAAATAATTTTCAAATTATAAGATGTTTGGTTGTGTCCATTAAAAAATTATAAAATAATTATATGAACAATTTATATGTTTCAAATTCATTTTTTTCTATTAAAAATTAATAATCGTCTGAATTGGACGTTAAACTACATGAGGTTAGAATATACTAAAATATATTCTCAAAATTACTTAAGTTAAATAATCATTTGAGATTTTGAGATCAAATTTTATCATATTCTAATCAACATATTAACATTATGCTCAAAGCATCATCAAATTTTCAGCAAAAAATATAAGTATAATATAAACAAAAAAAAAAACAGGTATTATTTTACAACTTTTAAAAATTGAAAGATTCAACCAAGATCCTATAATCAAAAGATCATTTTACAATTTTCAATAGCGGAAGGATCCAACAAAGTAAACCCGATTATATTACGGGGGATAATTTGTAAAATTTACCTTAATTTTTAATGTTTCTAGAGTATTGGAGAGTATTGGATCGATGGCTTACAGAAGTAACAACGATGGCGATGTCACCAAAGGTTGGGTTTCTTGAATTTTTGTTCTTCATGTTGAATTAAAATCCATAACTACAGACACACATGTAAAGTATCGTAAAATATGACACATATGTAAAGAGAAAGTGTTTCCAAGAAATAGATTAATTTGTAACAACCAAATGAGGTGTTGATACTTTGGAAGCAGCAAAAAATACCATATTCGAAATCTGAGCATAAGAAAACAACCATCAAATGCATTTCCGAGTTCCCTCTTCCTCAAGTAGGATTATAGTCATACGCACTAATATTTAAAGCATAAAGGGTAATATATATATAAAAGTTACGAGGATGGCTTTTTCTCATGGTGCTTACTTGTGATTCCACATCGCTCTGCTGATTTCGCCTTGGCTCCGTTGCACCTACTGAGAGATTGAAACTATTTCTAGACCCTACCTACTCACTTTCATTATCGCTTTCCTGCAAACTTATACGGTTCATATTCCTTTCTAGAGGAGGAAGCCCATCTTCAGAATTATTGGAAGAACCCTCATCTTCACTGATGCCTGCTCATATAACATCATAAGGTCAGTACAACAATAACGGCCATCCCTGTATCACATCTCAAAGGTTGTTTAATTTGTAACCAACACCTGCGAAAATCATCGATGGGTGGATAGAATTCTCAATTTGATGAAATTGTAAGTAATTAAATCCATGCCATGTAACAGTCAAAATGCTTTCTAATGAAAAAAACCACTAAATAGACTCCTTGTTGAAACAACATCATATGCCATAGGTAAAAGAAGCGAGAAGCAACTTTGATAAACAAGATGGTTGAGTCGTGCATGAGAGTTTTGCAGGGCAGAGAACAGGGTCGGCAGCCAAAAAGCATATTCTAATCATTTGAAACATCTTTAAGATCAGAATGGCATCAATAAACATGGCATCATTTAGGGAAAAACGAAAGCTCATATAACATTGGTTGAAGACAACAATAATTAGACAACTATAGTGGTTTCAACACGTGAGAAGGTCTACCAGTTCACTATATGAACATGTGGATAAATGAAGATTGCCTGTGCCAAAAGAGGGGCTGAGGACCAAAGAAGAAAAAGATAGAAACAAACAAAAAGGACCTTCCTTTCCCTCAACTTGCTCACGATATGTGCTACACAGAGCACAACGATATAATAAGACTGTAGCCAGCTCCATGTGGCAGAAAAGGCATTACTTTGTTGACGAGGAATTCATCAAACTATACTCCTACCCTTGGTCCCACAAGAGTTGCAGATGTTGCTAAGTGGTTGTTATATGCAAAAAGGATCTCTCTCTCTCTTTTTTTTCGAAATCTGCAAAAATAAATTTACCTTCTGCATTTGGTGGAACCTTTGGAACTTGACTTTGTTGGGAAAGCCAAGAATTTTGGACTGATATGATGTCAGCACTATTTTCACATTCAGAATATGCCTTCAAAAGTTCCCTACACAATCAAGTAAACCAACAATCTGAGAGCATATGTCAAGTAGAATGTTTCTGATCTTGAACATGGATAATAACTTTCAACCAATTTAAAACTTTTTGGACCATAAAAGCAATAACAATAAGGTACCTGTTAAGGGACAGGAAGGCATGACCCCATTTGAACTTGCCTAATAGCAAATTTGCGGTTTCCCCTTCCCCACTGTTAAAATACCGCAATGGAACAAAAACTCAGAAGACTTGCTCAGTAAACACGCGACTTTCAGTGACATATTAATTGGCAACTTGGCATAGATAAAAGAATGTTAGACCAATCACTTGGCTAAAAGTTTTATCTTAATTAAGCTTGGAAACAATGCCAAAGCTCTATGTAAGGGATGCATCCTTAGTTTTATAAAGTTACAAAGTTCAAAAATGATGCCGAAGCTCCGCCGACATTCATATGGCTGTAAAACAGCAAGAACGGAACAGACCAATATGCCATAAAATCTAACAGATTTCGTCCGACATGCAATGGCACATGCACAGTTTTCATTTACATCATAGAAAAAGTTCCAAATACTGATTTATAAAATATGATTCATACAAATTAAAGCTAGCATGTTACATCCATCCCAACAGAATAAGATCACAATATAGAAAAAACCAGAGGTCATAGCAGCCCGAGCATATAGATATAAAAGAAATAACATGATTGAAAATCCCCAATTCAGTAAGTCACCTTCAAGATTGTGAAGATAGAAGGTGATAAGGAAAGAAGTACCATATTATTAAAGCTGCAGATAATGCTTCTACGCATGATAGCTCACATGGTCGACCATAGTTTACTGGGTTTGCAGCCACTAGCCATGGCACTGAAATTCCAAGAAATACATCAAATTCGTAAAGCAGGATGCTGAAAACTATTTAAAACCATAAAAAAGAGCAACTCTTAATTAGAATATGTGAATGCGCACATGCCAAATAATATGCAGTTATACTTTCAGTTAGATGTCTTAAGGTACTAAGGTAAGAAGTCGATTAAGGTGTATATAAAAGTATGCAATAACAAGAGTGAGAAGAAGCATTACTAATTTGAAATTGTCATTTAAATTTTTTCATTGTATATGATGAAAGAGAAGTTTATCTGAATTTATATATATACAAGTAATAAATGTAATATGCTACTAAAAAATGATATAATTTCATTAAGAGAAGGTCAACCGAAAGTATGTCCTCTGGGTTAAACAAAAAAGAAATCAAATTGAAAGTAATACATACAAATATTATTCCTAGCAACACGGATATCAAATTATCAATGCTATTAGAACATCATGAAGCACCTCAAGGACTGAAATTCCAAAACAGTGCAACAACAAAGGCATCAAACTTGAGCACATGTCAATTGTCAAACATAAAGGCAGGAGCCTCTTTGAATCATACAATTCAATACAAAAATAAAGAACAAAAGAACTCCTAGCTTGGAGTGTCAAGATAAGAATAGATCATGGGAGGCTTGTTACTGTTGACATCATCCACAAGCATGTCATGAGATATAGCAAAAGTTTACAACATGTTGACTGAAGATAAAAATCTGAAAAATTTAGCACTGAGAACATTGTATTATCTCCGATCATTATGCATAAAAATTGTGTAATAGCTATAATTTGTATAAAGCATTATATGAGGAATTAGGGATAAAGCAAGTACTAATAGATTGTAGAGGCAAAAAAGCTAAATGTATATGCTAGACAAAATGCAGCATGTGCATCACATAGCAAACACTTGGAAAGTTTATATTCATACACAAGCGAGGAGCACCACACCGCAGCTTCACAAACGGTACATCACTAAGACGAGCCCATGAGCAATCCACAACAGCTAACCCTTTTCTGTTCATTAGGTTGTAATCTTCTTTTGAGACGCACTGACTACCAACAGGACTGCCCAGCAGAGGTTCAAAGCACAGATAATAAAAAAAAATATTACAAGCCTGCTAATATTGAAGCAGATTCATTAGCTAAGGCTGGTATTGGATAGTTTTCTTATGTTTGTTGGGTTTTGTTGTTTCTCCTTTATGTCAGATGTGTGTCAAGGTGGGTTGAGGGTTGTTTTTGTAAGGGGATTGTTTGTTCTTAAACTTTATGTAATCTTTCAGTTTTTAATAAAATTTGAGGCACTCTTTTCCTCCTTCCACTGATTAAGGAAAACCGAGCGGTGTTCCTTTAATCTAGAAGGGGGTTTTTAATGAGGCCTCCACCTCCTATAAAAAAAAGAAGAAGAAAACACAAGCTAGTATGCATCAGCAATGAAAGATATTAGTACAAAAGAACAACTATGAGGTGATTTCGTCTGAGACTATGAGATACACCATCAACTTAGGAAAAACAAAGGTGAAAAGTTGGTCACAGTAGCACACCGAACATTTGGCCCGGTAACAGGTGCATGTATACACCTTGCTGAAACAGGTGAGACCAAATCACCCATTCCCCAAATCAAAAGATGAGTTGTTGAAAGTACCTTAAAACAATGCCCCCAAAACCGCTATTCACACGCAAGTCCTGCATGAAATCATTCAATGGTCCAGATTAGCAGAAAGTGAAGATGTCCTTACTGGTCAAAAATGACTGAATTAATTGATTGATCTTATATAGAAACTAATAGCAGTTACCAGTTATCATTTTTCTCTAAATTGATCATTGATAAATCATTTGACAGGTTAATAACGCAAGATCCTAAATTCATCGACACAAGTTCACTGGAAGTGAAATGAATTTCAATTTCCAAAAGCACAATTTTATGATCGCTGATAGGAGAAGAAACTATATGGATCAGATGACCATGCTAAAAGGAAGTCTTTATGGACCCAAGAGTTGGTACACTTCAATAATTCGATGTTAATTTTTCCTTCCTAAAAGACCATTCTCTAGGAAATTTCCTCTTCTTGCTTTCTGCATATAAAAGTTTGCGTATCTTATTTCAATTTTTTTTTGATAAAACAGACATAGAACACCCATTGACAGACTATTCATGCCCAATATCCACCCATAAGTCTCTGATTTATCCTTCACTCTTACATATTTCAACCTTAGTAATGGCAAAGATTTGTCTTGAACCAAACACTAGGAGTCCATGACACATTTCTGAGGCAAAGCAACTACAAATTAATCCATGAATGGTAATGTCTACAGAGCAAACAGTACATTTGATGCAATGGAAATAAGACAAACTGAAACATGCATAACCAAATTAAATTTGAGGGAACTTTAGTCTAGCAGATACTTTCTTTCAACAACCCAAATCTTGCCAGTTTGCGCCCAGTGCACCTTTTTGCATCGCACTGTCCAAAATCCTGAGTCAACAACATCAAAACAATGAGGGTAATCAATGCAAACAACTATTAAAGAAAAAGGGAGTAGGCCAACCGTCCAATACCAGCTTAAGAATGATTTCATCAAGATAATAAGCAAAACTATAGAAGACATTAACTTGACATTGCTGGCAATCACCATTTTGATACCAACTGATTTAAGACAATGTGCTTGAAATCATCAATCCATAGAAGCCATTTTGTAAGGAGAATTTAAAAAAAACAATAATAATAATAAAAAAGAATAAGATATTCAATAAACTGAAAAAAAGGTGGTGTTTGATCGCCCTAAAACTTAAGTGCTAAAATTTATGTACTAGATTTGTATCATGAAAACCATTTAGAATGTTACTTTTTTATTTATTATTAATCTAGGGTGATTACAAGTGGTAGTATATATTCTAAAGATTCACAACCTCAAAAAATAAGAATGTTACTGAAAATGAAGTACTCAATATAACTACATTATTTGATAGCTATACATACTGAATTTTGAAAACTATTCATTTCACAATGTTATTAACATAATGTTTTATATTATTTTAATAGTTCTATATAAAAATAATAAAGAGTAAATCAAATATTGCATCTTTCGTTGAAGAAAGTTCAAATATAAATTTGTAACATGTTCTGCATTTAAAAGGTTAGTAGGTCTGTACCTACTTATCACATTCAAAACTTTTTTTGTGAAAATTTTCTATTAACATATAACCTGAGTTATCAAACACATTAAAGAAATTAAACTATTCAAAATTCTATTTTCAATGCTTTATTAAAGACACCCTAAGTTAGAGATGTCGCCCATGATTTGATCGACCGAAAGATCCTTGTTATAAAATCTACAAACACATAAAAGCTTCAATAACAGTTGGCCAGGAAAAAAAAGTGGTAGGAGAAAAATACAAACCCACATAGCAAGTTGAATTTTAGGAAAATTCGTTTCCTCTTCGGGAGCTGCAGGGAGAAGGAACACAGAAAAAAAAAACAATTAACAGCGGCAAAACATCAAACACATGATATACCCAGACAAAATTTTAAGAAAACACAAAACAAGTAATTAAGATGTAGTTGTGGAATTGATACGTTGATCACGTGGGAGAGATTCATCTTCCCTGGAAAAGTGCATAAAAAAGCTTAGGAGACGGGTTCTAAAAGTAGATTGAATGAAAAGTGAATTGGAAAAAGCGGGGGTGGTTTTGAAAGGAAAAAAAACAAAGAACCTTTGGAATTGATGGTTTCTGCTAGAATGTCCACGATGAGAGCTATGGGTTTTGAAACGTCGGGGTTTGTTGTGACCCATTCCTCTTTTCTTTTTTCCAACTTTAGCTTGCAATGACTAGAAATCGACGAGAAAGAGTGGTGATCGCGGTCTTTTATGTTTGCTTAGGCGGGTCGGTGGCGGCACCTACTAGTTCCACATTACACGAGCGATGCTAGCAGAAACAAAAGGGTATATTACACTACAGGTCACTCTATTATCATAAATCCATAAATGGTTACTAAATTTTAAAACATCATCATCAGGTCACTTAATTAATCTATTATAACAATCATATCCGTATGTCATTCAAATCTCAAACGGATATTAAAAGGTATTGTTACATAACAATTTTACTTACTTTTTATATAAATCATAGAATATGTTATTATGTCATTAGTAAGTTTACGAATGGGTCATCATATTCCAAAAAGTTACAATCGAGTCGCTCACTTAATTATGTTACACATGGGTGATTTGGTATTCTTCAATATTAGGTGCTCTATTTGATAATCGAATGAGGAAGGAGCTACCATTGGTGAAAGGAATAATATATCTCGAGACAAAGGTCATTTGACAATGGTTGGCATAGATTAAGGTTCAAGATGTTTGAACGTTTTAAGGTGATTTGTGACTTTTGGGAGAGAGTCTCAAGAATTGATTTTTTTTGAATCGAACAAGGGCATCGAGGTTAATCTTATGATGAAATCTAAGGTTTGCATGTAATCATTGACAATTAGATTTTATATTACACATAACATGATTGTTATAATTGATATATTAAGTGACTTGATTATAAATTTTTGAAATATGTTCATTTTTTATTATTAGAATATTCTGTGTTATACCGTCATTTACAATTAAATGGTATATTGACATGAGTGTTTCAATCAAGTAATTAAGTGATATGATTATGAGTTTTGAAATTAAATAACTTATTGGTAAACTTACTAATAATTGAGTGACCTATAGTGTAATTTAACTAAATAATAATAAAATAAAGGATGAATTACTCTGCTACTCAACTGACTATATATAAGTTTTTAGTTGGAGCCACTCTAGTTATCAAAAGTTACAAAATGGTTATTAATCTTTAGGTGAAGTTGATGTTTAAGTTGATAAAATTAGCGTAGTAACAAATTTATTTCCTCAATATTTATGCATTGTTTTAATTATATCATAATTCTAAAAAAATTAACCTTCAACATTTAAATATTATACCAATTGAAAAATAGGTTAACAGAGGGGTTACTTGGTACGATATTTAAATGTTGAATGTTCTTTTTTTAAAATTAAGATCACATTAAAATAATGTATAAATTATAAGGACTAAATATATTATTATACCAATCTTATTAGTTACCATGTCAAATTTCCATCTAAAATTAATGATAAGTGACCATTTTATAACATTTTAAACTTGAGTTACCAACTAACAACTTATCTATAGTAGGGTTACTATCTTGATAGTTTACCCTAAAATAAATGGACACTAGAGGTGACAAACAATTCATTCGGTATCGGTTTGAATCAAGTCGTTTTGGGTTCAAATTTAATTTAGATCCATGGTAGTCGGGTTAGGTATCGAGTTAGGTCCATTTCAAATCAATTGATTTTCGGTTTAGTTCAATATCGAATCAGTTGATTTTTCAAGTTAGACCAAATCAGATTGGGCGATTTTCTGGTTGGGTCAATATCATATCAATCATTTTCAGTTTGGGTCAACCTTGAATCTGCAAGTCAATTCGGTAAAATCCAAATATATTTATAAATATTCATTAAATGAATCACTAGGTGATGTGCTAATAGATGCATACACATTCTTATTAGTCCCATGTTTAAAGTAGTGATTGCGTTGTAGCTATGTTGAATACACATTCTTGTTGAGTGTTGCCAAAGCTCTCGCGCTTAGAATATAGAGCCCATTCGTTGGCTTACAACTTTGTTACAGCTTTAAATTCCTTGATGAATAAAAGGATTTGCTACATACTTCTGCAGGTTTTGTGCTTGTATCACAAATAATATTAGAAGCTCATGCTTTAGCTCAATTTTCTGTTTCGTTTGATTTGTTTCATGTTTTCCAAACTATTCATGGTATTATTGTTTGATTCTTTAATACAAGTATGGTCTTTACTCAAAGAAATGGCTCAGCTGTGGGATGGAATCAATTTGTCAAGTTAGAAAGAGTCATAAGCTTCCATTTGTAGAATCGAAAACTTTGTACATTGAACCGTTCCAATCAGTATATATTGATCTGTGGGGTCATGCGCATGAAAAATCCAATGGATACAGTTGCTATGTTTCGTTTGTTGATGGTTGTACTCGACATTGTTGGTTGTTTCTTTTGAAAGATGAATCTCAAGTTGTAGTTGTGTTTCGCGTATTTCAGAAAATGGTGCACACTCATTTTGAAACGGAAATTAAAGAAATTCAAAATGATTGGGGAGGAGAGTTTCGTAGTTTGTCCTCTGTTCTTGTAGAAGCAAGACTGAGACATAGGCTAACGTGTCCTCAAACCTTCGAATAAAATGGTGTAGTTGAAAGAAACATCGTCATGTTATCAAACTTGTTCTTACCCTGTTGGCACAAGCATCCTTGCCAATGAAATTCTGGTCATATGTTGTTATTAGTGTTGTTTACCTCATCAATCGGCTGCCAACAAAAGTTCTTGTGGCATATCTACCTATGAGAAGTTATTTGGTTGAAAGCGTGACTACGCGACCTTGCAAATACTCGGATGCCGATGTTTTCCTCATTTGAAACCTTTTCAAGAAACACAACTAGAATTCAGATCACAACCGTGCACTTTACATGGCTACTGTCCGTAGCATAAGGGTTACCAGTGTCTTGTCCCAGGAGGTAGAATTTACGTATGACGCCATGTAATTTTTAATGAGTCTTTATTTCCTTTTACAAACTCAGCAGCTGTAGGATCATCCACGGTTTGAAAAGGGACAGGAACAATAGATATGAGGTCATGTACTCTACGATGTGGATCAGGTATTTTGCATATTCCCCAAGTTGAACATGTTGCTTCATGGTGTGAGCACAGTTCCCTAGGCACCACTATTGCTTCAAGTCAAACAGTAACTTCTTCAAATAGTGCTGCTGGTTTTTCACGTGATGAAGGTGATGCTGCGGCTGTTTTCTTACATCATGGAGGCACTGCTGGTTTTTTAGGTGATGAAGGAGTAAACCCTTCAAATAATGAGACAATTTCTTCACATAATACTGCTTCTTTCCCACATGATGAAGGAATGAACCCCTCAAATAATGATACTAACTCTGCTGGTTCAAGTAGAGTTAATGGAAATTGTTATGATGAGCAACCCTCTTTAGCAAGAACCGAACATATTAGATGTACTGAGCAGCAGCCTGCTCCTATGCTCTCGTCTCCAACGATTGTTGGCAATTGACACCCAATTGTCACAAGAAGTAAGGTGGGTGTTTTTAAACCCAAGTTGTACTCGGTGTGGTTACTGAAGAAGAAATACCCTCGTCAATTTAATCATCTTTTGAGTCTCCTATGCGGAAAGCAGTTCTTGTCGAATACAATGCTTTGCTGAACAATGACACATAGAAGCTGGTTCCTCTACCAAAAGGAAGGGAATCGATTAGGTGTAAGTAGATTTTTAAAGTTAAACGAAATGATGACGGAACTGCCTTCAGATATAAATCCCGTCTTGTCGCCAAGAGTTTTTCTCAAATACCTGGATAAGACTTTCTACACACTTTTAGTCTAGTAGTGAGGTTCTTTACACTCGTGTTTTTTTATATGTAGCTGTCACGAATAAATGGAGTATGAGACAAATAGATATCGACAATGTTTTTTTTTTGTGGTGAGCTAGTCGAGGAAGTATATATGCAACAACCACCATGCTTTGAACGAGTCTCTTCTGATGGGTCGATGTTGGTGTGCAAACTTCAGAAAGCTCTCTACGGATTGCGTCAAGCTCCTCAGAACTGGTATACAAAATTGAGAGGGCATCTTATAGAGATGGGGTTCAAAGGATCTAGCTTGGATGCGTCTTTGTTCATTCGAAACATCAAAGGGGTCGTCACATACTTATAAATGTTTTGAAGTTGCAGGAAAAAACTAAAATACAACAGGCGAAACTGGCTCCCACACCTATGTTAACATCAACAAAGTTGGCACAAAATGCCGGCAACTCTCTTGAAAATGCACAAGAATACAGAAGTATAGTAGAAGCACTTTTGAACGTTTGTCATACCAGACTAGACATAACTTTCTGTGTGAATCAAGTGCCTCAGTTTATGCATACACCTTGTGATGTTCACCTTACAACAGTCAGACAATTCTTGTGTTACTTGGCAAGGACGCTTAAATTCGGCTTTTTGTTCACCTCCTCAAATCATAAACCAAGTATTGTTGTATATGTTGATGCTGATTGGTACAACAATTTAGATAACAGAAGGTCAACAACAAGTTATTGTGTTTATATTGAAAATAATCTAGTGGCCTGGCGTTTGAAAAAATAAAAGTCTGTCTCTCGGTCGACTACAGAAGCCAAGTATAGAAGTATAGGTGACTAAGTATCTGAAGTAACCTGGGTCGAGGCAGTTTTGAAAGATATGTGTTGTCAATCGACTCAAGCTCCCGTTGTATGGAGTGACAACACTAGCGCAGTTGCCCTGTCAGCAATGTATCACTCGCGTTCTAAGCATGTAGAGTTAGATGTTCGCTTTGTCCGTGAAAAGGTGATTGAAGAGAAGTTACAAGTTAACTATGTTCCTGCGTCACATCAAGCTGCTGATGGACTGACCAAGCCTTTGTTTAAATCATCTTTTGGTTTGTTTAGACAGAAGTTAGGTGTTGTTACAGCTGAACATATCCAAGTTTGGCATGAAGAGAACGAGGAAGCCTTCTGTCTTGTGGCTAGAAGTTTAAAGGTTTGGTTTGAGAAGGAGCCCGGAAAATGTTTATCAGCCTGTCGGCTCTAACGGGTTGGTTCAATTGGTTATCAATCGGTTAGCCGTTGGGCTACAGTGACCAGCCAATTTCATCATTGCGTAGGTTTCATCTCTGAAATTCATCGGGTCCCAAATCTCAATAGCATAATCGAAGTTTTATTTTCTGGGGCAATGCATCAATTGAAAATAAAGAGCGTAAAGAAAAACTCATACATGTTACCAAAAAAAGGACACAATATCGAGTAAGAAAATTTCATGCACTTTGTGCTTCTAAGAGACCATTAAAATCGTCCCTAGCCTTACGCAAGCGAGGTGTTATGCAAGCAGGTGAGGCAGGGGACAATGTTGGTGACGATGTAGAGAACCTGACATGCCTCGATGATGATTCGTGTGATTTCCTTCCTGTTGATCTTATTTGAGTCGAACCATTTTTTAAAACTCTTTTTACATCCATATTATCAAACACGAAAGCAGCAGAAACCGGTAAATCGGAATCGTTCCCAAGGTTTTTAATCAACTCCAATGGAAGATCAAAGAAGAGATTCATGGAGTCGCCATCATCAACATCACGCTCTGGTATTATTGTTGATGAAGCCCATGATCCGCATTCAAACTTTTCCAGGGAAACTGTTTTTGATATCACATTATTATTATTCTCCATCATCGTTACTTCTTTTCTAGGCCTTACTTGCTTGGCCTTTTTAAACCCTGGTATGAACAAGCAAAGGGCACTGCATTTGAAGTCGACTTCACTACCATCCACCTCCTCACTGTCCTTTCGACGATGACCACCATTGTTACTTACATTGAGATTGGAGATTAAACTTCCATGTCGATGCTTCCTTGCCTGGTACAGCCAAAGATCATCAACTTCATCTGATGCTGCACGTGTTCTTCCATCTCCACAAGACTTGCTTTCCAAAAACTGGCTGTTTTTCGGTGATGGGTGCTTTTTGACCAGCCAAGGCGATGCTTGGCTTTCGGTTTTCGAGTTCTTCCTCGACAAGATCGAGCCAAATCGAGGGGAGGAAGTAGCAGAGTTAGGAAGGCTATAGCTTAAGAACTTGTGCTTTGCGGGGAACAACGGAGGTGGAAACATCATGTTGAAGCTTATTTCTCCCATGGATGATTCTCGCAATGAAATTGGATCAATTGATATCAGTTTCTCCTTTTGTAGGCTACCCTCTTTGACGAGGATTTCAGGCACTTCAATTGTAAAGTCAAACTCATGTAGATCCTTGTAAATCTCATCGAGTTCTCGAGCAATTTCGTTTGTGGTGGGAACTATTTTCGAAGTAGGAAGTGCCATTGAATTGAAAAGAGACGAACTGTGAGGATGAAACAAGGAAGGAAGAGGCTGCCATAGAATTGGACGTGGATGGCAAATATATGGAAGCCAAGGAGCAGCTCAATAAGTGATTTGCATGTCGTATAACTTGGGAAGGAAAATGTAGTTTATGCTCAATACAAAATTCATTCATCTTTACTATAATCAACAATTGATGCGTGCCACAACCACTGAGGATTGACTTTGTTAAATCAGAAAATGCTTGCACGTCCATAATAAGAGCTGCTCTTTTCTCTCACTTAAATCATGTTTTTAAATCCTTATCACATATGAAACCCATGGGTCTTGTTTCCAGTTCAGTTGGTTTTTATTTTATTTTTTAGTTTTAAATGGATTCAACTATGTTAAATTTAAGTATATTCAGTGATGTCTCATAATTAAATATTGTAGGGGTCAAAATATTAAATTTTAAAAAAGTACAAGAGTAAATTATGCGTTAGTACATAAACTATTAGTTTTGATTTATTTTAGTACCTAAACTATCAATTTTTTTCAAAAACATATATAACGTTTAGTTTTTGTTTCGTTTTTTGTCACTAAAGTTTAATTTTTTAATTTAATTACTTAACTTTTAAATTACTCTTAATTTAATCACTCTAACTTTCAAATTTATTTTTTTTTATTTTTATTATATATTAATAAAATAATATTAAAAAATATCTTATCATAAAAATTATTAATAAAATAGAGTAATTAAAATAGGAGCAATTTGAAAGTCGAGTAGTCACATTGATTTTTTTTTAAAATTTTAGTACTAAAATAGGAGTGAAAATATAGTTGATTAATGAATGATGTAATTTACCCAAAAAAAAATGTAGTACCGTTAAATTTTTAACGGCAACGATTTAAAATAAAACAAAAGCTAAACGCTAGGTATGATTTTAAAAAAATTGAAAATTTAGGTACTAAAATAGACCAAAACTAATAGTTTAAGTACTAAACACGTAATTTACCCAAAATACAATGAATTATTAGGTATTTAAACTAATAAAATGCCTAATTTGTCTAATATTAAACTTACAATGACTTAAATTATTATTAAACCAAAAAATTTTAGAATATGAGATTATCACTATTTAGTTCGACTCTTACTTGATTACATATTTAATAAATTCTTGTATTTTTTTAAATTAAATACTTTTTTTTACATGAACCAAAATCTATCGAATATATAAAATTTTTACAAGGACCAATACTCCTTTAAGCCTCAACATAGCTCTATCCCTGAGTATACTATCAAATATATTAAGATCAATATTATCATGAATGTTAGAATGAGTTGTTTTCAGATATAAATTATTTTTAATACGAAATTTTTAGAAATTTAATATTTTTTTTGCTCAAATCCTTTAAAAAAAAACTGGTTTCAATTTTTTTTCATATTCAAATTTAATTATCACGGCCTTCTATAAATTTAAATAATTTTAATATAAAGGTTATGGAAAAAGTGATTTTATAATGACGTTAATTTAATACATCTTAGTGGTATATATATATTAATAACATAAAAGTTATATAAAAGGTAGGCACAATTTAAATTTAAAGGTGAGTTTTTAATACGAAATTATCATGAATGTTAGTATGAGTTTTTAAAATTTGAATAAGAAAATAAATGAGATTCCAACAAATTATATTGAGTTGTTTTCAGATATAAATTATTTTTAATACGAAATTTTTAGAATTTTAATATTTTTTTCGGCTCAAATCCTTAAAAAAAATGGTTTCAATTTTTTTTTTCATATTAAAAATTTAATTATCACGGCCTTCTATAAATTTAAATAATTTTAATATAAGGGTTATGGAAAAAGTGATTTTATAATGACGTTAATTTAATACATCTTAGTTGTGTATATATATATATATATATTAATAACATAAAAGTTATATAAAAGGTAGGCACAATTTAAATTTAAAGGTGAGTAGATTCAATAAAATAAATAATTATTTAAAAAATTTAAATTTTAAAATAAACACGTGCTCATCCTTGCCAAAGAATGCATCTGCCGCTCATATATATTTATATATAAACAATCCCATGTGTATATATATTCTTAAAATTCCCCATCCCTGAGACCGAATGTTCTCAAGGAATAATTGTTTGGACAAGGGTAAGCAGATGTAGAATTAACCGATTCCCTTTCCAAATAAGCTTGCTTTATATGTTCCAACGTAAAATATTTAGTATTTTAATGGAGGGAAAGCGTCACCTTGTCCATAAGGTTGCTGCTCCAAGAGAAATAACTAAGAATATTATGGTAACATAAGGATGAAGCAAAACTATTCCTGCCCAACTGGAATTTCCTTTGAATAAGGCAAAGCCTATGACTATTGACTTGAACTACAAGACAGTCAATCTCTAATGCCAAGAATTCTCTTCCATTTATACCATGACTACAACAATCTCAATCAACATCACCAAAAAAAAAACTTGCTGAAATGGAGGGTTTTATTGCAGGCCATGAAGGGTCAGCAGAAATTGTGTTTTTCGATATAGAAACAACGGTACCCAACAGAGCCGGTCAAAGGTTCTGGGTACTGGAGTTTGGTGCCATTGTTGTTTGTCCGAGGAACTTTGTTGAGCTAGAGAGTTATAGTACCCTGATTAAGCCTAAGGACTTGTCTGCTGTTGCATTGAGGTCCGGCCGATGCGATGGGATAACTAGAGATGCCGTCGCGAATGCGCCCGCATTCGAGCAAGTTGCCGATAAGATATTCAGCCTTTTGAATGGTAGGATTTGGGCTGGTCATAACATTCAGAGGTTCGATTGTGTTCGTATTAAGGAGGCCTTTGCTGACATTGGTAGGCCTCCTCCTGTATCTGTTGGGATCATTGATTCTTTAGGAGTTCTCACTGACAAGTTTGGCAAAAGAGCTGGTAATATGAAGGTAAAATTTTCATAGTAAACCTGTTATTGTTCATAATAGTTGCTCGGTTCTAATTTCCCTTTATGCAGATGGCAAGCTTGGCCACTTACTTTGGGCTTGGGCAGCAAAAACACAGGAGCCTGGAAGACGTTCGCATGAACCTAGAGGTTCTAAAGCATTGTGCAACTGTGCTCTTTTTGGTATGTTTCTCAAACATCAATACTAAATTTCAACTTCATCTTAGAATCAAAAGTGCAAGTTTGTTAAGTTTTTGAGTTTGTATGATGTTAGGAATCAAGCCTCCCTAGCATATTGAATGGCGGTTGCCAGAGTTCCCCGACGATAACAACACGAAGTAGAAGCGGCACGGCAAAATGGACATGCAGGGAATAAACCAGCAGGAAATCATCGTCCCCACCTTCAGTTGGATATCAGAGATCAGTTCCCTACACAAGGGGAAGTTTGGGAAAGGTTTAATTCCATGCTGATTTGTGAATTATCATGCACGCTATGGTTTCTTAATTGGTCAACGACGACTAAGGAAAATGAACTTAATGAAGCAGGTGACCGAAAGAATGAAGAATCTTTGTGTAAGCTCATGGAAGCCGGCCTATTAACAACTTGCTCAAGCATTCTCTTTCAGTTCTCATATGAACATGGCATGAAGCATAAGAGGGTCTTTCCCCAGGCTTATGGATTTGATGAATTATAACAAAATTTATGAGAATTTGGAGCACCCTTTTTGTTGTTGTTATTCGTTAATTCTTTGTAAATTTCAATTAATCAATTGAATTTGTGAATATGATTAGCCGTGTACCGCACATTGAACAGCTTCATGTTTCCCTTGAGTGCTCGACTGTTTTCTCTTTCTTTTGAATCTGCTACGTTAGCTTAGCATGTCAAATGTCCTCGACGTAGAACCTGCAAATTGTTCCATGCAGAGATTGCTGGTAACGCAGAAACTAACGTAAAATTTTATATTAAAAAGTATAAATTTATCACACCTGCTCTCCTCGGTCCATCCCTGACTAATACTAAATTTGTTATTGAAATAGTTCATACTGCTATGATATTATAGATTATAAATATAATTACAATATTAATCAGGAGAAAATCAATATAAAACAATAAGTTTAATTTAGTATGAACATAAAGTTTATTTCAATACTGGTATGATATTATCTAATTAAATTATATTTGATTAATATTACTTCTATTAATTTATTAAAGCGAACAATATATTAAAATATTATTTTTCAATATCAGTTTATAATATAATAAAACATAAATTAATGATATTTTTGTTTGTTTAAAAGCTTCTCCAAATTTGTTTATAGATATATATAATAGATTATAGACATAGAATAAATATGTTTAGGAAGACTTTTAATGAGACTAGCAATCTAGATTTTCGGATTATTTATTTAAATATCTAATAAAATTATATTTGTTGAGGAAAAAAATTATACGTACTTATTGTTGAGAGTCTATGAGAATGTATAGAAGTTTGATGAATGTAATAGGTTTCTGTTATGCGAACGGTTGTAAGTTTGTTAAGCCTTTCTGTTATGCATTCAATTATGGTTAGTTCATTGTATTCTATGCTGCTATAAGTAGTCATTACTTGTAAAGACTTGATATGGTTTTAATAATAAGGTTCAGAGAGCCTCTTATCTCTTGTCCTCTCTATTCTTCCTTGTGATAGCTTAGTTTGTATCTTATCATGGTATCATTCGCCAATCCTGGTGGTCGTTTCTTCTTCCACTGTTACTTCTTTGTGATGTGTTATGGTAATTACTTCAGTGAGTTGGTGATCGGGTTAGTGTTCTTAGATATAGTCTAAATTTTGTGTTTTGTTCGTCATGGTTGATCTAGCTGCAGATCCGATTTGAGGTGCTAGAATTATGTCTCAGAATAATTCTCTTGTGAGCTCGGTGACTGTTCCTTTGGGTTTTAATGCAGTTTAGATATCCCTAAGAATGAATCTGTCAAACTTACTAAGAGTACCTATCTTCTTTGGAAGCATCAGGTTGCCCTGATAATTGACGGTTATGGGTTGATAAGTCTTCTTTCCAATGATGTAGTTCTGCCAGATG